TAGTTTCAATTTTGTCCAGGCTAAAAGAGAGAGGGATAGACAATCCATTGCCGGTAAATCAATGTTGTACTTGTAATAATAATAATTATGTTGTCATCCTCTTACCATCTAAGCATATTTTTTTTTACACAAATAAATTTTACAGGTTAAGAACTGTTATCCTACTTCAGTTGACTAACACCCAGGTACCCAGTTACTGCTAGGTGAAGAGGGGCAGCAGGTGTAAGGAAACATGCTCAAAGTTTTCACCTGTGCTGGGGATCAAACCACGGGCACTTGGTATGTGAGCTGTATCTTAGGTAAGACACATATGCAACAGTTAGGTATCTTTATTTCGAAACGTTTCGCCTACACAGTAGGCTTCTTCAGTCGAGTACAGAAAAGTTGATAGAAGCAGAAGATACTTGAAGACGATGTAATCAGTCCATCACCCTTAAAGTTTTGAGGTGGTCAGTCCCTCAGTCTGGAGAAGAGCATTGTTCCATGGTATGAAACAATATGGAGATGAAGTGACAGGATGGAGCTTTATATAGCGCCAGGAGGTGAGACGTAGGTCACTAGGAGAGGTAAGAACTCAGATGTTGGGAGGACAGGTCCCTCTCAAATCCAGCCGTTCTCACTAGTAGAGGTTTGTCGAAGTTGATTGTAGGTCTGTACCAAGATACCCTTGTGTTGCAGTGTCAGACAGATTGAACAATAAAATGGTATAAAATACCGACAGGTTGTTAGGTAAGACACATATGCAACAGTTAGGTATCTTTATTTCGAAACGTTTCGCCTACACAGTAGGCTTCTTCAGTCGAGTACAGAAAAGTTGATAGAAGCAGAAGATACTTGAAGACGATGTAATCAGTCCATCACCCTTAAAGTTTTGAGGTGGTCAGTCCCTCAGTCTGGAGAAGAGCATTGTTCCATGGTATGAAACAATATGGAGATGAAGTGACAGGATGGAGCTTTATATAGCGCCAGAGGTGAGACGTAGGTCACTAGGAGAGGTAAGAACTCAGATGTTGGGAGGACAGGTCCCTCTCAAATCCAGCCGTTCTCACTAGTAGAGGTTTGTCGAAGTTGTTGTAGTCTGACCAAGATACCCTTGTGTTCATGTCAGACAGATGAACAATAAAAGGTATAAAATACCGACAGTTGTTAGGTAAGACCATATGCAACATTGGGTATCTTTATTTCGAAACTTTTCGCCTACCAGAAAGGCTTCTTCAGTCGGTACAGAAAAGTTGATAGAACAGAAGATACTTACGATGTAATCAGTCCATCACCCTTAAATTTTGAGGTGGTCAGTCCCCAGCTGGAGAAGAGCATTGTCCAGGGTATGAAACAATAGGGAATAAAGTGACAGGATGGAGCTTTAAAAAGCGCCAGGAGGTGAGACTTGGTCACTAGGAGAGGTAAGAATCAGATGTTGGGGGGGACAGGTCCCTCTCAAATCCGCCTTTCTCACTAGTAGGGGTTTGTCGAAGTTGATTGTGGGTCTGTACCAAGATCCCCCTTGTTTTGCAGTGTCAACGTTTGAACAATAAAAGGGTATAAAATCCACAGGTTGTTAGGTAAGACACAATGCAACAGTTGGGTATCTGTATTTCGAAACGTTTCGCCTACACAGTAGGCTTTTTCAGGGGAGTAAGAAAAGTTGATAGAACAAAAGATACTTGAAGACGAGTAACACCATCACCCTTAAAGTCTTACCTAAAAACCCTGTCGTTTTTTAAAACCATTTTATTGTTCAATCTGTCTGACACTGCAAAAAGGGGGTTTCTTGGTACGACCACAATCAACTTCGACAAACCTCTACTGAAAAACGGCTGGATTTGGAGGGACCTGCCCCTCCCAACATCTGATTCTTACCTCCCCCTAGTGACCTACGCTCACCTCCTGGCGCTATAAAAGCTCCATCCTTCACTTCACCCAATTTTTTTACCATGGAAAAAACCTTCTCCAACTGAAGGTCTACCACCTCAAAACTTTTAAGGTGAGGACGATTACATCGTTTCAAGTATCTTTGCTTCATCAACTTTTCTGTACTCGCTGAAGAAGCCTACGTGTGGGCGAAACGTTTCGAAAAAAGATACCTAATGTTGCATATTTTTTTCCTAAAAACCTGTCGTATTTTTTACATTTATTTTCAATTGACTGTATGTGCTAACCGGAACATGACCACCCAATTTATTTTACAGAACACTAAACCCACAGGGGTCATACAGACCCAAAAAATGGAAGTTTAAATTAAAAAGAATGAAGGATTTTATCATTTTTTGCACCCCAAAAAACATTTAAAAAAAATGCATGCCTGTTTTTAAAATTAAAAGCAGAAATATCAACTTCTCTTGCACAATTGACAAGGGGTGGGTACTGCGGGCTTTATACAGTTTTGAAATTACACACACTTCCTGGGCTGTGCCCACCCCCTGCCAAAAGACAATCTTACATTTGTGATGTTGGAACTCTCTCAACCCTCAATAAATGGAATGATCAGGAAAAAACATTTGGTTTTTGTAGGGAACCTTTTAAATCTTCAATTATGGTCATATTCACTTATACCAATGTTACATTATGTAAAAAACCCCAGTATAAAGCCTTTTTAAATATGCTGGTTATTTTTTCTGCAAAAAAAAATTCTAACCTAATAGTAAACAAAACAGAATTTAGTTCATGGGCTGTTAGGTTAAATTTAGTTAAAAAAAAATAAAACCCTAATTCAATTTAATTCAAAATTCCCGATATAAAATGCCTCTTAAATGACCTTTACTTAATTAGGAATTTATATAATAAAAAATACACTAGTAAAACATTCTTTCCCGTAGCTGTAATATAAATTTTTCTCTAAGCAAAATATTGTAGTTCGCCCAATAATAAAGTGAAAATTCCCCAAATTATTATCTTGGGGAAATATATTTATTTTTTTATTTAATGTCTTTGCAAACATACATTGAGATTGTGTATATACAATAGTGGGTTGCAATACAAAGAGAACCTCTATTATGCCTTGGCATTATGGCCCAACTTAACATTACTGACTTACATTCTACTTAATACTAAGGAGTATATCATAGTTGTACAGTAGGATAGTAATTATAAATGAATCAAAATTTGTATAATACGTACAAAGATATACGTACAGTATTTCTATTCTAAAATGCTTTTTGTGAAAAACAATGATTCAATTATATTCCTGTCAACAATGGATAAAAGGTTCAATGTGATTATTTCAGTTATTATGTGGGAGTACATAGGTGAGTAAATGTATACTGAGTATTTAGCATTTAGTCTAGGGTGATTAAGTGGCTTTTGAGAAGAGTCTTAAATTGATTTTCAGACTGGGTTACTTTAATATCTTCTGGTAATGAATTCCATATTTTGGGGCCCTTTATGTGCATAGAGTTTTTACACAGTGTGATATGGACACGAGGTATATCAAAAAGAGATCTGTGTCTTGTGTTGTGGTCATGTGTCCTGTTTAGGTTGGCGAGGAAAAGTTTGAGTGGGGGGTTTATATGTATGTAGTAGGCACATGAATAAGTATGGATGCTTTTAATGGTAAGCAGATTCAGACTTTGAAAATTGGTGGAGTGTGCTGGCGGGAGTGGGAATTTGTTATCATTCTTACTGCTGCCTTTTGCTGGGTTATTAGGGGTTTTAGGTGATTGGATGTTGTTGATCCCCATGCACAAATTCCATATGTAAGATAAGGGTAAATGAGTGAATAGTACAGTGCCAGGAGAGCTGATTGTGGAACGTAGTACCTTATCTTTGATAGTATCCCTACAGTCTTGGAGATTTTCTTGGTGATTTGTTGTATGTGTGTCCGGAACTTAAGGCTACTGTCAAGGTGGGTACCTAGGAATTTTCCCTCTGTGAGTCTTGTGACTGATTGTCCATTTAGCGTAATGTTCATTGGACCATTTGCAGCTTTGTTTCCAAGCTGAATGAAATAGGTTTTATCAGTGTTCAGGGTAAGTTTGTTAGTCATCATCCAGGCAGACATTTTCTGTAATTCAGCATTGACTGTGTTTGCTAGTATGACTGCATTTGGGTGGGAAAATACATATGTAGTGTCATCTACAAATAATATGGGTTTGAGTAGCTGTGATGCATTCGGTAGATCATTGATGTAGATGAGAAAGAGGAGTGGTCCAAGGATGCTTTCTTGTGGGACTCCTACTGTGATTGGTTGGGTGGAGGAGTTTGCATCATTTGCATACACATATTGAGTTCTGTTACTAAGGTATGACTATAGGTGTTTGAATTCAGTAATGAATTTGAATGATGCTTTAATATTGTTCTTTTGGTCTAGGCCTTCTGACTCACTATTTTATCATTTGCATAAGGAAGAAATAACCCCAGCATTTATTCTAGCCCCTGCTTCATTCAAAAGGTATGTCACTTGGGTGTTGTTATTATTATTATTATTATTATTATTATTTATTATTATTATTATAAATTTTTATTATTATTATTATTAAATTTTTATTATTTATTATTTATTATTTTTATTATTATATATTATTATTGCCTTTTTTCACATAACGACTATCTCCTGGTAAGTAGGGTGACTCAAAGAAGAAAACACATTTGTTGTAGTTGGTTGGTTGCTTCTTGTTATTGATTGCTGGTTGGTGGTGGTGGTTGTCAGTTGTTTTTGTTGATTGCAAAACCCAATCTAATGACATAGTACTCAGAAGATCTGACTGCAAATAAAGATTTGTCTTGGGGAGTCTCATGATGGTACTTCATAATTGAGAGTTCTTTTTTTCTCTCTCTCTCTTCTCCCACTGAAGTAGAAAAATTTTTTAGTATGTACATACATGCATGCATATTATACATATGCATTCCCAAATCTTCCACTGATAGCATAAAAATAGAAGATGACATTACTACATAGCCAGACACCCCAAGTTTCTGGGTTGAATTAGCATGTGAAGGGCAAGACCTTACACAATAATCCCACCTCTTAATTTTTGTGCCCCTTCCCCTTTTTCTCATGTTAGGAAGAGTTGGATGGCGGTGGGCGGTGTTGGGAGACCCACTAGTGTGGGTTTGGGCAGTACGAAGCTTGGACCTGGCCCTCCTACCCCGTGAAGCTCATGCTGTCACACAGTTCCTCAACTCTGACAAAGTAAGCTGTTTGCTGTACCAGGAATGCCTTCCACTTACTACAGTAACTGTTAGTACAGTGGTACCTCAATATTCGAGCTTAATCCATTCCAGGTGGCTGTTTGAATAGTGAGTTGTACGAATATTGAATAAATTTTTCCCATGGGAAGTAATGTAAATTGGATTAGTCCGTTCCAGGCACCAAAAAATTACCAATTATAAAACATTTTAAGTGAAAATATTGCTTATTTAAACCTGTATAATATTTGCATGCTTAAAATCTTACATAAATACGTGAAATAAAAGAAAATTTAAGTGCACTTTACCTTTACTGAGGAGTGCTGATGACCTAAGAGGAAGGTGGAGATGTTATTGTTTGGAAAGGGTGTCACCTTCCATAAAAACATCAAGTAACTGCCTGTCTGGTGTTTTTTTTTCTTTCCTGTCTTTGTGTAGTAGCACTTGAAGATGAAGGGAATTCACTACCATTTAAATTTTTTCTTTGCCAAAGAAGCTGTCCAGTGTTGTCTGCCTTTGACAAGTGTTCATAACTTTTCTAAAGTGGTCAGCAGCATTGTCATTGAACAGCTTGAAGCTCCAATTCACAACAATATTGTTAGGATGCCATTTTTTCACCGGGCTCTGGAAATGTAGCTCTTACTGCTTCACTCTGAAGAAGAAGAAATTTCCACAACCACTTCTTTTTGTTGCTCCTTGTGCAGGTCTTGAAGCTCTTCTGTGGTGAAATCATTCTTGCAATCCTCCACCAACTCCTCTACATCCTCATCGTCTATTTCCAAACCCATGGACTGGCCCAGAGAAACGATATCCTTCACTACAGGCTCTGCCTCAAAGCCTTCAGAATCTCTGACATACAGTCTGGCCACAATTTCTCCAAGGCAAAGTTCATTGTCCTGAAAAAAACTTCTCCCCAGGCTTAGTCTACTATCCTTAAACACTGGAGGATATTAAAATGGTTTTTCCAAAATTCCCTGAGGGTAAGCTCTGTTTCAGAGGTAACTTCAAAGCACCTTTTAAACTGCTTTTGTGTAAAGTTTCTTAAAATTGGAAATTACCTACTGTTTCATGGGTTGGATAAGATGAGTGGTGTTAGAGGGCAAGAACTTCACTTTAATGAAGCTGTTTTCATCCATCAGAGTTTCCTCTAAGCCTGGAAGGGTGAGCAGGAGCATTGTCCATTACCAGAAGTGTGCTAATGGCAGGTTTTTTTTTCTGCAAACACTTCATGTATCCACTCAGTGAAGCAACTGCCTTGTTAGCCAAGCTTTACTGTTAGCCCTCCACATTACACTGAGTTTACTTAAACACCCTTGGGTTTTCCGAGTGGTAGACAAGCAGTGGTTTTTAATTTCTGTAGGTTGGTAGACAGCAACCGCCCAAGGAGGTACTGCTGTCCTGCCAAGTGAGTGTAAAACGAAAGCCTGTAATTGCTTTACATGATGGTAGGATTGCTGGTGTCCATTTTTCTGTCTCATAAACATGCAAGGTTTCAGGTACGTCTTACTACTTCTACTTACACTTAGGTCACACTACACTTACGTGTACAAGCATATATATACACACCCCTCTGGGTTTTCTTCTATTTTCTTACAAGTTCTTGTTCTTGTTTATTTCCTCTTATCTCCATGGGGAAGTGGAACAGAATTCTTCCTCCGTAAGCTATGCGTGTTGTAAGAGGCGACTAAAATGCCAGGAGCAAGCTGCTAGTAACCCCTTCTGTATAAATTACTAAATTTAAAAAGAGAATCTTTTGTTTTTCTTCTTGGGCCACCCTGCCTCGGTGGGATACAGCCGGTTTGTTGAAAGAAAGAAAGATTAGCATTACCACACAACAAGAGTGTTAGCCTGTCTTTCATGGGTTTGGTAATGATTTTTCTTCTTCTGTGATGTAGGTTCTCTTGCCTGAAATGCTCTGCCTACAAGAGGCTTTTGGCATGTACTACACTCAACTATTATATTCCTTTGTACAGCCATGTATCATGTCAAATAAATTTATTATTATTTTTATTATTATTATTATTATTTTAAAAAAGAGGCCAGTTTCATCACAGTTAATAAATTTAGGAATTAATCCCTCAATCTCTACATAGGTTTTAAATTCCTTAAGGTTTTCAGCCTCATCTGTTAGCAGTGGCAGCCTCCCCATGCCTAATTACACAATGAATTCCACTCTTTTTTTTTTTTTTTTTTTTTTTTTTTTTAAACCTGTTAAACCAGTCCCTACTTGTCTTAATTTCATCACGCTCAGCACTGCTTCCCGGGGTGTCTCACCTAAGATCACTATATAACTGCTTTTCTTTTTTCACAAATTATTTTCAGAAACACTGTCACCAGTCAGTTGTTTCTCATGAATCCACACTAACAAAAGTTTTCCATTTCGTCAGTTATCTGTGACCTTTTCACAGCAAGAATTTTTGCTTTCGTCAAATGAGCCCCTTTTATTGCCTCTTTATTTTTCAATGTGGATGATATGGTAGATTTTGCCATAACATATTGAGTGGCCAGGTCCAACACAAGTGTTCCACTTTGCAGTGAGTTCTTTTTTCACTTCAATTGTTAGTTCTCATTTCTTTCCTTTTAGGATTGTTTGGATCACTATTTTTTTTTTTTTTTGGTCCATGATTACTTATTTTCAATGAAAATATTTGAAAAACACCACAGATTAACAATGAAATACCAAAAAGTTTCACGGAACTTGTATGAACGATACTTAACAAGCCAAAGCTGATGGGAGACTGAGAACATGATGCTTTGTTTTCATTGGACTTCATCCAGATAGACTGTTTTGTTTATGCCAAATATCAGGTCAATGTCTGAATACCAAGTCAAATTTTTCTCAAAAACATTGGACAAAGATAGTTGTGTGAATACAATCTCTCCTCACTTAACGATGTACTCGTTTAACGACCTCCCGACTTACGACAGTTCTCTGACCAGTATGCATACCTCTGTATATTAGAGCTGATTTCCTGTTCTGTTTATTACAATATACAGTACTTACTGTACAAACATTTAAAAAAATACTAAAATTTTTCGAAAAAAAAAATTATTTTTTCTTATGGAATTATAGAGAATCTTCTCTCGATCATAATGACACCAAAAGTATGAAATTTGATGGAAAACTTATGGAATTATGCTCTCACAAAGTTAACGGTCTCTGACGATGTTTACGCATCGGCGATTTCGCCCACTTTGAGCCCTAGTTTTGGCCAATTCCAATGTACCAGTCGACAAAAAATCATAACTATTTTGCTAGAACTCGATTTTTTCTATTGAATGAATACAAGAAACCACCCATTTACTGATTTCAACTATCCAATAAAGTGGTCAGAAATTGCCAATTTTGCCAATTTCACACAAATTTCAAAAGATGCCAATTTCCAAATAGGGTCCAGAATAAACAAGACAGACATTCCTGGCACTAAAATAACATTTCCTCAGTTCATTAGTCATGTCCCCAGGCCTCTGTTGCATTACTTTTGCTTTCCACTTTGAATTTTTATTCTCACAAAAAATAGAAGATTTACTGTTATGCAGCCTACTGCATTAGTGTAGAAATGGTATAAATAATATCAGCGCATTTGTGAAAGAATATTAGATTCGCCAGTTGATGTGTATTGGACGCATGGCATGTTTTGTTTACTTTTGAACTTCGGCAAAAATCGAACATTTCTGTTACTTTGAGCTCAATTTCAAGGTACTTTTCATTGCGAAACCAATCAAAATCATCTCAATTTCCGTAATATATCTTCCATTCTATAAAATGAGACCAGGAAAACTAGAATACAACCATAAATAGCATACGAAAATACACTGCAAAGTCGCTGTTTTAAACCATAAACAGAGTCGGAGTTTTTTTTTCTCATTATGCACTGTGCTGCAGGATTTTTTTTTATACTGCGCTCACTGACCACGTAGACCCATTCTTTCATATGTAGGCCTACCAGCTTTCTCTCACTAGATTTGAAGGCGCTAGAATTTATGCATACTAGTACGGCACCAACCCTGAAAGGGTTAAAACAATATCTAAAGATGGTTGACACAAACCCACTACCGGTATAGTATGCTCCTCATTATCTACACTTGGGAAATCCTAGAAGAATGGTCCCAAATCTGCACACAGAAATCACTCCTTATGAAAGTAAAGGACTGGGCAGGCAGTGCAAAATACCCCCAATGAAAAGTAGGGGCACCACTGGTACACTAAAACACCATAAGTGTCCAGGGCCCAAGACTGTTCAACAGCCTCCCACCATGCATAAGGGGAATTACAAGTAGGCCCTGGCTGCCTTCAAGAGGAAGCTGGATAGATACAGTAGACCCCTGCCTTACGATATTAATCCGTTCCTGAGAGCTTCGTGAGCCGAAATTATCGTAAGGCGAATTAATTTTTCCCCATAAGAAATAATGGAAATCAAATTAATCCGTGCAAGACACCCAAAAGTCTGAAAAAAAAAAATTTTACCACATGAAATATTAATTTTAATACACAAACTGAAGAAGACATGAAGTTAATACTACTCTACTAAGAATAGAATACTGTACATGACACTTACCTTTATTGAAGATCTGGTGATGATTGATGGGCTGGGAGGAGGGGAGAGTGTGGAAGTTGTTATTGTTTAAGAAGGGAAATCCCCTTCCATTAGGACTTTAGGTAGCAAGTCCTTTTCCGAGGTTACTTCCCTTCTTCTTTTAATGCCACTAGGACCAGCTTGAGAGTCACTGGACCTCTGTCGCACAACATATCTGTCCATAGAGCTCTGTACCTCTCGTTCCTTTATGATTTGTCAAAAGTGGTTCACAACATTGTCATTGTAATAGTCACCAGCATGGCTTGCAATAGCTGTGTAAGGGTGATTTTCATCCATAAAGGTTTGCACTTCAAGCCACTTTGCACAGATTTCCTTAATTTTTGAAGTAGGCAACTTCTTCAATTTCTCTCTCCCCTCCTCCGAAGCAGTTTCCTCAGGTCTGCCCTCTTACTGTTGAAGATGATCTTGCAGCTCATCAGTGGTTAGTTCTTCGTTGTTCTCCTCCACCAACTCTTCCACATCATCCCCAGTAACCTCCAACCCCAAGGACTTCCCCAGTGCCACAATTGATTCCAAAACTGGCATACGCTTCTCAGGGTTAGCCTCAAACCCTTCAAAATCCCTTTTGTCTACACATTCTGGCCACAGTTTCTTCCAAGCAGAGTTCAAGGTCCTCTTAGTCACTCCCTCCCAAGCCTTACCTATAAGGTTTACACAACTGAGGATACTAAAGTGATCTTTCCAAAACTCTCTTAAGAGTCAATCGAGTGTCTGAGGTCACTTCAAAGCACTTTTGAAACAACTTTTGTGTAGAGTTTTTTGAAGTTAGAAATGACCTGCTGGTCCATGGGCTGCAGGAGAGGAGTGGTATTAGGAGGCAAAAACTTGAACTTAATGAAGCTCATGTCCCCAGAAAGTCGCTCTGCCAAGTCTGAAGGATGACCAGGAGCATTATCTAATACCAGGAGGCAGTTAAGGTCCAATTTATTTTCCAGGAGGTAATTTTTCAGTGGGGGCAAATGCATGGTGTAACCAGTCATAGAAAAAGTCCCTAGTGACCCATGCCTTAGTGTTTGCCCTCCACAGCACACACAAATTAGCCTTGAGGACATTGTTTTGCCTGAATGCTCTGGGAGTTTCAGATTGATACACCAATAAAGGCTTCACTTTGCAATCACCACTAGCATACATAAAGAGAGTAAGCCTGTCTTTCATAGGCTTATGTCCTGGGAGTGCCTTGTCCTCCTGAGTAATGTAGGTAATGTTTGGCATTTTCTTCCAAAACAGGCCTGTTTCATCACAATTAAACACTTGTTCAGGTTTCGGTCCTTCACTGTCTATGCATCTTCAAGGGGGCTCCTTGTTGTGGTGAAGAGGCTCTTGGTCTGAGGAATCAGACCTGTCGGTCTCCTTCCTCAGACCGAACCAAATTACCCCCCAATCCCCCCCTCCCTATCCCATCCTCTCCTTTTTCCTTTCCTCCTCCTCCTCCTCCCCACCCCTCCCTTTTGCCCTTCCTCTTTTTGGCCTTTGGGATTTCTCCCACAGGCGCGCTAGTTCCTAGGTAGGGGAAAGGATACCGGGGTCCATCCCATTCCGTTGAGGTTCTTGGCGGTGGCGTAGTTTGCCGTGGAATCTGGATCGCCTGGGGATGTCCCGATCCCTCTCCGGTATCCCGGAGTAGCTTTGGGTGTCTTTCGGGCGACAGGTGTATCTCTGGAAGCCACCTTTCGGATTCCGGGGGTGGTGGCCGAAGGAGGTATGCTTTGTGGCGGATATCTCTATGGCTCCCGTATCCCCGAACGTGATACAGTCAGGTTTCTAGGCCTTCTCTTTGACCGTAGGTTATCCTGGAAACCTCACATTACCTCTCTGAAGGCAACTTGTCACAGCCGGCTAAACCTTCTTAAAACCCTTGCTCATCTTTCCTGGGGAGCTGATCGTCGAACTCTGCTTCGCCTACATTCAGCCCTCGTTTTATCGAAACTCGATTATGGTGACCAGATTTATTCCGCGGCCTCTCCTGCTACTCTCTCTAGCCTTAACTCTATCCATCACCAAGGATTACGTTTGTGCCTTGGTGCTTTTCGCTCTTCCCCTGTTGAGAGCCTCTATGCAGAAGCGAATGTTCCATCCTTGTCTGATCGCCGTGATGCCCATTGCCTTCGCTACTATGTACGCTCTCACGATCTACACAATCCTTTCATTTATAGAATGGTCACCGATATTAGTAGACATTCTTTATTCGTTTGCCGCCCTTGTTTGCTCCGTCCCTTTTCTCTTCGCCTACATTCACTCTTGTCTTCCCTTCAGTTACCATCTCACTTTTCCCTACCCCCCTGGGAAGTTCCAGCTGTTCGGGTCTGTTCTTTCTCACTCCCTTGCTCGAAAGCTCAACTGCCTACGGTGGCTTCCCGCTCTCTTTTTCTTGATCACTTCCACTCCCATTCTCATGCCACCGCTGTGTACACAGATGGCTCTAAGTCTTCAGACGGCGTCAGATTCGCAGCAGTGTTTCCGACAGCGTCATGCGGGGGCATTTACTATCTTCAGCTAGCATTTTTACTGCTGAACTGTATGCCATTCTTGCAGCACTTATTCGTATCGCATCTATGCCTGTGTCATCATTTGTAGTAGTCTCAGACTCCCTTAGTGCTCTACAGGCTATACTGAAAATTTGATACATCTCATCCCTAGTTCTCCGTATCCAACTTTGGCTACGCCGTATCTCTACCAAACATAAAGATATTGTTTTTTGTTGGGTCCCTGGTCATGTCGACGTACAGGGCAATGAACAGGCAGACACTGCTGCGCGGTCAGCAGTACATGACCTACCAATTTCCTATAGAGGTGTTCCATTTCTGGACTATTTTGCTGCAATAGCTACCCACCTTCGCACCCGTTGGCAACAATGTTGGTCAACTCTGCTCGGTAACAAACTTCATTCTATTAAACCGAGCATAGGTTACTGGCCGTCTTCTTGTCATCAGTGCCGAGGTTGGGAGACCACTCTCTCCCGCCTTCGCATTGGCCACACTCGTCTTACTCATGGGTATCTCATGGAGAGGCACCCTGTTCCTCTCTGTGAGCAGTGTCAAGTTCCAGTATCGATTAGCCACATTCTGTTAGACTGCCCTCTCTAACAACGAGCACGCAGAATTTACCTCCAACGTCGTCTTCGTTCTACTACTCTCTCTTTACCTTCCCTTCTTGCTGATGGACCCTCCTTTAATCCTGACTCTCTCATTGACTTCTTGACAACGACTGATTTACTCCACAAACTCTGATGATACTTTTCGCACTCCCCTCAGCCCTTTCTAGTTCAGTCTCTTGCTGCCCTTTACCCTTTCACCATCCACTACCCCGCTGTTATCCGTAACCTATTACTCATCCATCTCCCTTTTGCCACCTGATGCCCTCGCTTCCTTCCTGCCCTGCAGCGCTGTATAGTCCTTGTGGCTTAGCGCTTTTTTGATTATAATAATAATAATCTGAGTAAGAGAAAACGGTGTTTTGAAGAGGATAACTGCACTAGAACATCAGTTTACTAAGAAATACATCGAAACAAACGCGATTTCCACACAAAAAATTTTTTTTTTGAGACGGTAGGCCGGCCGACGTTCTAGGCCTATATCTCGGAAGTAACTTATTCACTTATTTCGCTTTACAACCCCATTATTAATGATTGTATTGAAATGATTTTCACAGACAATATAAAACAAAGTGTTTGAATTATTGTCAGATTTTTTGGAATATCTCAAATATTTTTTATTTTATGGGGGGTAAAAGGCAGATATTTTGGCGAATGCCAAAAATTCTGTCAAATGCATTTTTTTTTACCATGATAATAAGATATATTAGATGAAATGGCAATGTAAAAACGTCGTGCTAGTTGTATTCTAACAGTTGGGAATGTCGGAAGTGCCACTCGTAGTGCCAATTTGTCAGGTCATGCTGCCATATATAAAAATTTTGTTTATTTTTTTTTTCTCTGCTGTTTGTTGGCCAATCATACTGGAACTTTGTCACATGCTTCTACATATGCACCTCTAAAAGTACACCAAAAATAAAATAAATCGGTTGAAAAATAAAAAAAAAAATGAGAGGGGGTGCGCCCTTAAAATGTATGTATGGCGGATTTAACGTAACGCAATGCCATTGTAAGGCAGGGGTCCACTGTACTTAGTTGGTGCCGGGCTGTGGCTCGTATCGTTGGACTACATGAGGCCAACAGTAACAGCCTGATTGATCAGGCCCTGATCTAAGGAGGCGGCCTGGTCCACAACCAGGCCACGGGGGCGTTGATCCCCGGAATACCCTCCTGGTAAGTGGGAACGGAACTCCATTGTTAAGTGAGGAGAGACTGTATAGGGGCATATGAATATTGAGGTTCCACTGTACAAGCATTCATATACAGTGGAACCTCTGGTCACGAATGCTTCTGAACACGGATAAATCAGTTCACAACCAAAAAATTTTCCTCACTTCATTGTTTCTGTACACCTAACAAGGATCCTCGCCTTATAGTCAGTCTTAGTCAGATGTGCATTCATTCGCTGCAAACTCCTTGTGTTGTATTTCGTGTTTTTTTTTAAATCGTTTTGTTTTCATGGTTGTTTACGGTATGTTTTTTTCTGTTATTTAAGGTTTTTTGCTATTAAGCTGTGCATTATTTTCTATAATTAAGGATTTTTCAAACTTTAATTATTTTTTTTCTGTGACTAAAACTTAAAATAACTGTTTAGTTTACTATTACACTGCATTCTATGGTATAATTAACTGTTTTTGTGCTTAAAAATCTAAAAAAATTACGTACATTTTGTAGGGGTCTGGAACGGATTAATCGTAATTACATACAATCCAATGGGGAAATGAGGTTAGGATCACAACCAAATTGGGTCTTGACCAGAGTTATAGAATGAATAATGGTCGTGACCAGAGGTTCCCTCTGTACCAACATATCAAAACTTACGTTGATTATTAACTGGTGAAAAAAAAAAGTGAGGTGGCAGATATATCACCAACAAATAAGCTACAGTAGTACAATACATTTTACTTTAATACTGTACTTTACTATTAGAATTACTAACTAGTCACTAGAAAGTTCTCTATTAGCTTTAAGCCAAATGTAACATGGCTATGCCGCCAGTGCTGGCACCTGATGCGGGACCACCTATCACACACCGACAGCCCTCTGGGAGCTGGCTTGGTAGGGGGAAAGATCTCCTGGGACGCTGTGAAGTTAAGAGAGATGCAACAACGTCTTCTACGGGAGGTTTCCAGTACTCACAACGAAAAACTCATTTTGAAGGTGAATAGCAATATTGTGCCCAGAATTTTTGTTTAGAAAATGAATACTATAGATACCAAAGTACAATACCTCACGTATTGAACGAGTCATGGTAGTAAGGCAGAAGATAATGGTACTTAGCATTTGAAACAAAAACTATGCCCTACTGATCATAGTGGGAAGTTTTGGATATAGGTGAAATTTTCCTTTTTGGGTCGCCCTGCCTTGGTGGGAAATGGCCAATGTTAAAAAAAAAAAATATAATGTGCATTGCCAGAGTACACATGTGCATGGATGCAGTATGGCAATGCATTTTCAATTATCAAATTACTGAGCTACAGTGAAGATTTTTGGCTAATTTTATTCACTTTTCACATTCCCAGTGTTAAATCAAAAGTGCAGCACTTTGGGAATTGGAGATACTCAAGTCAAACAAAGGATAGGGAGGATAATAATTCCCTTAGATCAAGAGTTCATCACCTGAAAGGAGACACCTCATGAGCTTTTAAGTTTTGATACACAACACCAAATGCAATTGATTCTATAGATTATATTTACAGGGAGATGCAAAGCCCATAGGGGTCATGCAGCATCTTGAGAATAGGAGGCAATAAGTTTTGATTGAAGGAAAGGGAGGACATTCTCAGCCCTTTTATCAAAAGTACTTCACTGACATTGAGACCTCCCCCTTGAGAATCATGCTTTAGATGTATATGAAATTAAAGACATAACAGCTTAAAAATATAACTTCATCCAAACAAGTGTATGAATATGGATCATTAGCACAAAGCCACATGGAAAAACAGTACTGTATACCATGCACAAATACAGTATTAAGTGGTCTTATTATGTGGACTTGTTTGCACCATAAAGATCTTTGTTAGTGGGGGTAAATAGCAGCTTTAACAGTACTATGCAAACGAAATAAATTTGTGAATTAGGTTTTGCAAGCTAGTAGCTTTTCCAGTTCATTATTGATCTTATTAACAGAAGACAATCTTGATGAATTTAAGGTAGTGAACACCTTCCAGGTTGAGGAACTGCTTATCTACATCTGCTGTACTTAATAATCTCTATTAAATGTAAAAAACAACTGCTTGACAAAACTTAAAATTAAAGATACCCAGGTATTTGCTCTTATTTTTTTTTTGTATTATAATCAAAAAGAAGCGCTAAGCCACAAGGGCTGTACAGCAATACAGCTTTTTTTTTTTTTTGTAGCATTGCACACCATTAATGTTATGATACAGATTAATTCATCTTAATTATTGCTTCAGGAGTTATTACCAGTATTGGATGATGACACCATGACACATGACAGCGTGGCATGTCATAAGACTCCCAGGGCCATCCCATTTCCCAGCAGGCGCCAACCTGGACACTGGGTTGGTATGCCATCTCCACAGCAGCTTAGGCACACTTCAAGCCCCAATATTATATATAAAACTAAGCAGCAACTCCATGAACGTTCTGTTCAGGGTCACACATTTCAAAAAGATTACTCTAGGCAGCTGAATGAAAGTGGAATCAAATCAGGGAACGAGTTTGCACCTAGACAAGACGGTGCAGAACAAATCTCCACTGCTACAGATACCAAGGTGCAACCTCTTCATGATAGTCAAAAGGTCAACAAATCAATTTCCGAAACGGACAAGTATTATCAAAGAAGACATGACCAAAGAACTAACTCGGCAAAGGAGGTAGAAATAAATTTGGAGAGTGGAATTCCAGTGTGTCCATCTTCCTGCAGACCTCCATTACACCCAGACTGGAACTACTGCTGAAAATTGCGATCTCATTCCATTAGTATTCATCTGAAAGGAGCAATTGCCATTGTTCTACATCACCAATTATTATTATAATCATACATCACCAATTGTTATGCCCAAAATAGGCATAAAAAATTCAGTATCAATTCCTAATGAACAAAATAAAGATTTATTTGATAGGAACTGTTTTCTATTCCTTTAATATTATAATAAACTGAAGTGCTAAATTCTTAAATGCGTGTTGTAGGACCCCTTAATAAACTGTACTATACTTCTATACCCCTCAAAGGAGGGTGCTTTGAAACCAGCAGGGGGTTCTTGATCCGAGCCCCCCCCCCCTTCATTGGATCAAACCTGAATGCCTCCCATTCCCTTTCCATATAACCTCTACAATGCAGTTATGACCCTTGTAGGGGTTATATAACAATAAAAAAAAAACAAGTTTAATGCTTTTCCCTTATTCAAGTTTACTCCACTGAGAGGCAAGTACCAATTAAATGGATGTGAAGTTAATATAATGTATTTTGTAAAATTGCCCACTATTTTTGGTTGACAGCAGCACTGTCCAAGGTCCTTGTAAGCAGGTGCTGCAGTCTGGCTGGCATTCCCATACAGGAGCTAAGGTTGGCAGACAGCACAACCCTGCATTTGGCAGAGCCTCAGCGTTATTACATTCAGGGTAGTGCTAAACCCATAGCACACCATTCACACATTCTGGTACTTAAAAGTTCATCTCAATGAAATGGTATGCACCTCCATAAAGTTTTACCAGTTTTGAGTATCAACACAGAAATCAGTTATTAATTTTGTTTTCTTCTAAACATACTGCTATGCATCCTCCACATATTACAATGTGGAAGCACTATTATAATCAAGGGGGAAGCACTAAATCCATAGGATTATACAGCACCTGTGAGGGGATGTGGAAGGTATTCAGGTTTAATTCAGGGAATTGGAGCACATATTAAATTCCCTAGATCAAAAGCCCCTTAAGGGGATCCTCCACATAAACTAACAGGTAAATAAGTACTGTGAACATCAAAATGGTATAAGATACCGACAGGTTGTTAGGTAAGAGACATATGCAACAGTTAGGTATCTATTTTGAAACATTTCGCCTACTCAGTAGGCTTCTTCAGTTGAGTACAAAAAAGTTGATAGAAGCAGAAGAGACGAGAAGACGATGTAATCAGTCCACCACCCTTAAAGTGATGGACTGATTACATCGTCTTCATGTCTCTTCTGCTATCAACTTTTCTGTACTCTACTGAAGAAGCCTACTGTGTAGGCGAAACATTTCGAAATAAAGATACCTAACTGTTGCATACGTCTTACCCAACAGGTAAGTAAGTGGTGCTTTAACCCACTGTTGGTCCTTATAAAGCATTTCTAAAATTAAAAGGCAAACCCAATTAATTTTTGTTGTACTGCTTCATGAGAATCATCCCCACCATATGCCAATAGCATATTTCAACCTTTCAGGCTGCTCTAGGTGATAAACAGAATAATATTGAAGTATATTTTATTGAAAATTTCAACCATACAGTGCTATGTAAATTTTTAATATGTTGGAATGCATCCAACTTTACTGACCAATTAAGTTTGGAATTATGTCCATCACTTAATACCTCTAACAAGGTAATTGAAGAGTGATTATACACCAATCTAACATCCAACAAGTACAAAACTGAAAAATATGAAAAGCTTATGCAAGGTTTTCAGTTCAATCATCATTCATGTCATCAGCCTTCACCTTAGGGCTTCCATTCTGAACTGGAGTCCGTGATCGGCTTCTGTCCCTGAAACAAAATTAGAATTTTTAGGTTTAAAAAAAAAAAGTTAATCAGTTTCCATCTAAAATATTAAAGAAATGAGTTTCTGAAATGAACTGCAATTACTGTATTGCTAAGTAGTGCTGGTTTCTCAATCTTCAAGAGCTGTATGTACTTCCCTTAATGACTGCCAAACACCACCTCATAGGGAAAGGTTTCTGAACCAAACAGTTGCTAAAGGATTATTGTATTGTCCCATATGAAAGTTTTAAAGTATAAATTCTAGTGCATAAAAATATTTAATTAAGTGAAAAATTTACAAAAGAATTCAACCGAAGTAAATTAATCTGCTTTTGAGCATATTTTTTTTTTTTAAGCAGCTCTTCAATACTCCCAAGTTTAAAAAGTCATTAGTCAAGCTCTCTCAAAGTTTCTTAAATTAGCTCAACTAAAACAATCAAATCTTTAAATTCACAACATTTGTGAACCCCTATGTCTGTGCACTTCTGAAATGATTACAGAATGAGGGAGCTAATGTAAGTCACTAATTTGGTCAGAAAACTACCAATAAAAAATAAAAATAAGGATAAGGGGAAGAATCAATTGCCAATAATTTCTTAGTGATACACAATCCCTTAATAAAATTTGAATATACAGTATATGCCAACACACTGACAAGACACCTTTGTTGGTTTTCGAGTCTTCCTATCAAAGCCTGACCCTAACCAGAAGGGGACTGCAACACCCAGAGAACTCAAAATTGCAGTGTTTTTATCACTTCATAAAGAAAACACTCGGAACCCTTATGAATCGTAGTGTAGGCCTTTTCATGGACCGGGCAGCGGGGGGCATTGATCCCTGGAATACCCTCCAGGTAGGTAGAGGTGATCCAAACAAGGGCAGGGATTAATTAAGATTGGCAGAGTGTATCAGAACTGAATGCAAGGCTTTTAGCTAGGAGGGCAGTCTTGAAGCAATGCATCCAGGCATTGCAGACGGCAAAAATAAATCCTGCATGCTTTCTGATAAAGTCTCTTAATATGATCTCAAGTCGCCTGACATTTGCAGAGGTGCTGGCATCTTTCCAAATGGTATCAGTTTTAACCCGTAACTGGCATATCCTGAAATTAAATTTCTTAGGTGGGGCATAATTTTGAAAAAAAAATCCTAGATTGAAAGACTTCATTTTTATGAATCTGTCAAGACAAAAAATGATAGAAGCCAATAAAACATAATCAAGGGGAAGCACTAAACCCATAGGATTATACAGCACCTGTGGGGGAAGATGGAAGGTATTCAGGGAACTGGAACAGTTACCTAGATCAAGAGCCCCTCACCAGCATCAAAATAAAACACAATTTTATGGTATGTTGAAGACTGAAAAAAGTCTCTTTGGCAACGGCGGCATGAACATTCAGCAACATTTCGGTTTTACAATTGTTTAATAATGTGTACACTAGTTTCTAATAATGTGTGTTCCAAGGAGTGTTAGTACTTCAAACCTGGGTAAATGCATAACCCAACATTGCTCCACTTGGAATATAGTATCTATCAGTTAATTTTTTTACTGCTTTGGCCTTTATCAATATGTACAATGATTACTTATGATTTCAAGGTGTAATACTCTTCAAAACATGGAAATATGTCACAACTTGACAATATTGGGTTATAGGTTGAATATTAGGGTATTATATAAATTTAGGTTCAAGGAAATAATCTGGATTATACAATTTAATTTGTGTGAAAGGAAATCTTATATTACAATTATTTAAAGGTATAATGTTCATCAAAACCAGAAAACCTATCATTTTTTTCCCATACAGTTATCCTATGTGAAATCTACACAAGTATTTTTTTGGCTGAATTCCATTAACAAAACCAATAAACTTGCAATGAAGGCATCCTCCTGTTAGCTCACATCATTTCTGGGCAGGAAGATGGTGGCACATGTCCTGGTTTCAGGGTTTACTTATGCTAGTTAGGGCATATTACTCGTAATGCACCATAAGGACCTATCTGGTCTTGGGATTTTTTTTTTTTTTTTTTTTTTTTCAAAGCATGAAGAGGTTTGGTAGGAGACCCACAGTTGGCAAGCACAAAAAATTTTATGCACTAGTATATCACACCCTTTACTTCATCATTCTGCCAATCACTCCTCTTTCCTCCTGCACCCACCCTCCTATAACCACAAACTTCTGCCCCCACATTCTAATACTGCATTTTTTTAAAAACTACTCCAACCCTCTTCAAACCCCCCACTACTTATACTTGCACCAGTCCACCTTTCTGCCAATAGTTGCTTATATCTCACCCGAACTTCCTCCTTCCTTAGTTTATACACTTTCACCTCCCTCTTACTTGATGTTGCCATTTTCATCTTGTCCCATCTACCTCTTACTCTAACTGTAGCTAAAACTAGATAATGATCCGATATACCAGTTGCCCCTCTATAAACATGAACATCCTGGAGCCTACCCATTAACCTTTTATCCACCAATACATAATCTAATACTACTTTCATTACGTGCTACATCATACCTTGTATATTTATTTATCCTCTTTCATAAAATATGTATTACATATTACCAAACCTCTTTCTACATATAGATCAATTAAAGGCTCCCCATTTACATTTACCCCTGGCACCCCAAATTTACCTACTACTCCCTCCACAACATTTTTACCCACTTTAGCATTGAAATCCCCAACCACAAGTACTCTCACACTTGGTTCAAAACTCCCCATGCATTCACTCAACATTTCCCAAAATCAATCAATCTCTCTCTCCTCTACACTTCTCTCTCTCCAGGTGCATATACACTTACTCTAACCCACTTTTCACATCCAACCTTTATTTTACTCCACATAATCCTTGAATTAATACATTTATAGTCCCTCTTTTCCTGCCATATCTTATCCTTCAACATTATTGCTGCTACTCCTTTAGCTCTAACTATTTGAAACCCCTGACCTAATCCCATTTATTCCACTCCACTGAAACTCTCCCACCCCCTTCAGCTTTGTTTCACTTAAAGCCAGGACATCCAGCTCTCATTCATAACATCCACAATCATCTCTTTCTTATCATTCGCACAACATCCATGCACATTCAGACATCCCACTTTGAAAATTCTTATTGTTTTTAGTAATTATTACAGGAAAAGGGGATACTAGCCAACTGTTCCCAGCATTTTAGTTGACTTGTACAACACCCATGTCTTACAAAGGAAAGATTCTTATTCCACTTCCCCATGGATATAAAAGGAAAAGTAATAAGAAACAAGAACTGTTAAGATAAAATCAAAGAAAACTCAGATGAGCATGTATAGATAAACATGTACATGTATGTGTAGTGTGACCTAAGTGTAAGTAGAAGTAGCAAGACATACCTGTAATCTTGCATATTTATGAGAGACAAAAGACACCAACAATCCTACCATCATGTAAAACAATTACAGACTTTCGTTTTACACTCACTTGGCAGGACGATAGTACCTCACTGGGTGGTTGCTGTCTACCAACCTACAAAAAATGCGAATAGCATTTCAAAACTCGCCATCAACTAAGCTTTTTTTTTTTTTTCAGCATAGTTCATTAACTTCCTGGGGCAGGTGATTTTTTCTTAACACTGACCGTCTCCCACTGAGGTAGGGTGAAAAAAAAAAATCATTACTAGCTTCATTTTGCCATTGGGGCACATATACTACTACAGTTCTAAACTGCAAATATTCCCACTCCAAAGTATGGGTACTGTACTTCCCACCTCCAGGACTCCTGTCCAGCTAACCAGTTTCCCTTCTCTTCAGAATCCCTTCATAAATGTTGCCTTGCTCACACTCAAACAGAATGTAATCATAAAAAAACTTGCCTCACACTAACACGCTCATGGATACTTGCTGGATGGCCACGCCCCTTGCACACAAAACCTCTACCCCCTCCCTCCAACCTTACCTCCACTACTGATTTATAAGCCCTCGAAGTCGTCCTATTATGTTCCATCCTCTCAATGTCTGAACCACCTCAACAACCCCTCTGAAATCAGCCCTCTGGATAATACTTTAAGTAATCCTGCACCACCTCTTAATCTCCAAGCTACAAATTCTCTGCATAATATTCACGTCACACATTGCCTTCAGTCATGACATCACTCCTCCGACCTAACTTGCTGCAACATTCATAACCCATGCTTCACGCCCATACAAGTCTCTTAGTACCACTATACTCATACATTCCCCTTTTGCTTTCATGGATAACATTGTCTCCACAGATTCCTCAATGCAGCACTCGCATTTTTCCCTTAGTCTTTCACACCCCCATCTGCTGGCAAGTTCACTCCTAATTTTTTTTTTATTATTATCACACCGGCCGATTCCCACCAAGCAGTGCCCAAATGAAAACTTTCACCATCATTCACTCCATCACTGTCTTGCCAGAAGGTTTTACCTACAGTTTTTAAACTGCAACATTAACACCTCTTCAGAGTGCACACTGTACTCCCATCTCCTATATCTTAACATATTAACTTCCTCCATACTCACTCCCTCCCTCCAATCTGATATCCAATCTTTCACTGCCAATTTTTTTTTTTCTTACATTTGATCACCTTGCTCTTTCCTTTTACATACCCTCCCAAATTTGTCCGCTAACCTTTTCAACTTCTCTTCAGAATCTTCCCAAAACAACTGTGACAACTCCCACTGTTATATTCTTTCTTTATCTTCCAATCCCACACCTCTACGTCCACTTTTCCTACCACCCCATCAATAAATATATTAAACAATCATGGAGATATAATGCATCCCTGTCTAAGGTCTACTTTTACTGGGAAATCTCGTCCTACATACCCTAACCTGAGCCTCAATATCCTTGTAAAAAATGACTTCTTTCAGTAACCTAACACTTATTCCACACACACACTGCTCCCCCATCCACTTTATCTGCCTTTTCCAAATCCATAAATGCAACAAAAACTTCCTTACCCTTATCTAGATACTGTTCTCTTACATGCTTCAATGTAAAGAACACTTGGTCTACACATTCCCTACCCTTCCTAAAGCCTCTATCATCTGTAACCCTGCTTTCCTTCTTACCCTTAACTCTTTCAATAACCACCACCAAACACCATTCCAGGTATACTCGACAATTTTTTTTTCTTTTAACGCACCGGCCATATCCCACAGACGTGGGGTGGCCTAAAAAGAAAAATGAAGTTTCTCCTTTGAAATTTAGTAATATGCAGGAGAAGGGGTTACTAGCCCCTTGCTCCTGGCATTTTAGTCGCCTTTTACGATATGTATGGCTTACGGAGGTAGAATTCTGTTCCACTTCCCCATGGAGAATTATTACCATGGAAATCTCAATTCTTTTATCCCTTTGCCTTTATACAAAGGTACTATACATCTCTGCCAATCCCTAGGTATCTTCCCCACTTTCAAACACTGAATAAAAGCACCAACCACTTCAAAACTATGGGCCAACTGCTTTTAACCCCCTTTCATTTTATTCACAGCCTCGTGCACCTCTCCCCCATTCACACCTGCCTCTTCTTCACTCCTAAAATGTTATACCTCCCTAACCAATGCATGAAATCACAGCTTCTGTATCTTCATAAACATTTAACAGTTCCTCAAATTATTCCCTCCATCTTCCTGATACCAACTCCCCATTAAACAATTCTACTCTTCCAATTTTTCAGTCAGTCAGTCATTCATTCATCCCTAGGCTTTCTCAACTTATTAATCAAGCTCCAAAACTTTTATTCTCAGCAAAATTTGTCGACAGCACATCATTTGCTATATTTTTACATTCCCTTACCACTCTTAACCTACCTACACCTCTGTGTCTCTCTCACAGGCCCTGCATTTTGATATCTGTATACATTATACATTACAGGATTAAAAGGTTATCATAATTTCTTATTTCCCACTACCATGTTTAGTACCATTTCACCTACATCTGGTGTTGGCTTGGTCTCCACCCTTAAGTAATAGTTACTATGTTCTAGATGTGCATACAAAGTTGATCATGCTAATAAGTTTGATTCATCAACCCCTTCCCATCCCCTGTAAGTGTGCAAATAAAAGGATAGCTTCTGGAGTATTTATAATTAATTTTTTTAATTACTCTGATACGCTTTCCATGCCAGTTTATGTATTTCCTGAAACTAGTTTAAAACAATTTAAGCAACTTTTAGAACTGATTGAAAATGTAGTTTTTTTTTTTTAAACGCTGGCCATCACCCACTGAGGTAGGGTGAACTGAAAAAGAAATATTTTATCATTTTTCACTATCACTTCTGCCAGAGGCATGCCAATACTAGTTCAGATGCCACTCCAAACTGCAAGTATCCCCACCCCCTTCTCCAGAGTGCAGGCATTGCACTTTCCACCTCCAGGCCTCAAGTTCAGTTTCCCAGAATCCCTTCACAAATGATACCTTGCTCAAACTCCAACAGCTTGTCAAGTCCCAAAAACCATTTGCTTCCACTCACCTCTATCTCACATATCTCCATATATAACATTCCACAGATGGCTCACTGCACCACCCACCTTTTTCACCTTATCAATTCTATGGTTCACCTTGTCTTTCACTGACTCATCTGCCAACAAGTTCACTCCACATATATCTGAGCACATTCGTTTTCTCCATACTCCCACCTTGCAATCTGATATCCAATCTTTCATTACCCAAACTGTTTGTTACCCTCAATACCTTGCTCTTCCTTGGTTCACTTTTAATTTCCTTCTACTTACCCTCCCATATTCATTCATCTACCTTTGCATCTTCTATTCAGAAACTCCCAAAAGCAGTGTCAGGGGCAAAATGCAACTTCCATCTTGTATTAGATTCTGCATATTTTAACCCCCACACCTCTCCAAGACTAGCACCGACTTTTACAACCTCATTTATAAATGTTAACCATGGTGACATTATGCATCCCTAAGGCCTACTTTTACTGGAAAAATTGCACTCTCCTACATGCCCTAACAAGTCTCACTGACCTCAACTTTCAGTAACCTGAGTGAACATTAAAATGGTATAAAATACCGACAGGTTGTTAGGTAAGACACGTGCAACAGTTAGGTATCTATTTCGAAACGTTTCGCCTACACAGTAGGCTTCTTCAGTCGAGTACAGAAAAGTATCTTCTGCTTCTATCAACTTTTCTGTAATCAACTGAAGAAGCCTACTGTGTAGGCAAAACGTTTCGAAATAAAGATACCTAACTGTTGCATATGTGTCTTACCTTTCAGTAACCTACCATGTATTCCTTACATTTGCAACATCTGCCACATTGCTCCACTACCCACCTTATTATATGCCTTTTTCTAAATTCATGAACAAACTTCCTTACCTTTATAAAAATATCATTCACTTATATGCTTCACTTGGTTATTATTTTGACGCTCGCTCATTTTTGTGGCTTCTGATGTGTAAATTAAATACACATGCACTTTAACGAACAAAAGGATGCAAGTAGTTTAAAAGTTATTCTAATATACATCAGCCTCTGACAAAATTAATGGCATTTTGATCAATAAATGGATGGAAGGGAGAAATTTTCACCGAGATAGAGTTGACTAGATTAAGATGTTCTAATATGCAGCGATAAAAAGCATATATTACCTCATACTAATTACATTATTAAAGGCACACTTTCAATGACAATACACACCAAAAATATTCACTTGGGTTAGTATGCAAACTAATCAATTTAATACATAAGCACAGAAAACAGAATAGTTAAAAATTTAAGGGGCAGTATTTTTTTTTTTTTTGGTACAGATTAAGGTAACATACCAAACACTAGAAAATACAGTAAAATTTTCTGCAGTTACAAGGCACAGTGTGAAGCAAACTAAGGCATGGCATGAAACCAATCAATAATTTGGATACCATAATCAAGGAGTGATGCTGAAGGTTAGCACTCAGAAGAAGGGGTAGATCTGTGCAAAAGAAAATATGGCAGAGACCAAGATTAAAAAAGCAATTTCAGGGAGACAAGTTATTAAAGGAACATTTATAATCATTGCAGTGTAACACTCGCTATACTGTGTAAGTTAATAATTATAAAAAAAATAATGGGTGCACATTTTTACCATAATCCTAGCAACGTGTTGCTCGACCAGATTTCCAATAGTAAAGACAGTCGCCTAGCCAAATGTAAACTTGACTAGACGTATTTTTTATCCAACCTACAGGCAACTAAGGAATACTGTGCACAATATCCACTACAACAAAGATGATGCTGATTTTCCAAGGAAAAATGCGCTCGCGTCTTGACAACTGACCAAATTCTGCCTCAATGGTTGGAGATCAGGAAGCATTTTATGTCTGACCAATTCCTGGCTATTTTGTTAGTATACTTTCTATCCTATCAAGTAAGCACAGGAAACTGCCCCTACTCAACTACCAGAACTACCCTATAAAGTTCCCAGAAATCAGTAATTTAATCAATTTTACATTAAAAAAAAATATCAATTAAAATCGAAGTCCACAACAAATGCTATAGACATTCCAGCCATTAAAGCAAGCCTTCCCTTGTTCATTATGACCAAAACCTTTCCTATTTAACACTTTCCTTCCATTTCAAAAAAAAAAAAAAAAAAAAAAAAAAAAAAAAAAAAAAAAAAAAAAAAAAAGCTTTCACTATTTCTTAATAAAATAACCAAGAATGCTTGGTCATAGTTTAGATATCCTCCAATAATTAAAGCAGACCTAGTGAGAACCCATAAAAGAGGCTTGTAAAGGGGAAGAGATTTAACCATCAGAAAAACTCCCAATTATGCTTATTTCAGGTTACTGAAAAGGTCCAAAATCATCTCCCTTTCACTAATGTATCTTCCGGTCTATCAATTGGTACCAAAAGAGGGAAACCCTACACAATGCCTGTCCCTATTTTAACCCAAACAGTCGTAGGTTAGCCCTTTCTATCATGCACGGCATGAGGTAGTTTCCCTCTCCCATATACAACATATAAAAAAAACCATGCCACAGGTGGGGTTAGAACCCGCGATCAGAGTCACGAAACTCTAGACCAACGTGTTAGCCACGGGACCAGCCAGCTAACACGTCAGCCTGGAGTTTTGTGATTCTCGTTTGCGGGTTCTAGCCCCACCTGTGGTATGGTTTGTTTGCAATCATGTCATTATGATTTCGTGAGTCATATACGGCATATTCAAATGCATTATAATTAAGATTTAGATCTATATAGATTCTGCTGGCCTCAATTGGACCTATTCAAGACAGTGAAAGAAGTGAAGGATCTTAATTTTGGAAAATATTAGAAATGACTATACGAACAAAATCCTCTTCGGGAACTGCACCGGGATACTTCACAGGGGTAAAGGGGGGGAGAGAGAAGGAAACAAATGCTTAAGTAGAGAAAGGTAACAGGCACTTAGTGCACTGAAGAAGTCTTAAAATATTGATTTTTTGTACATTTAGTCCTTATAAATCTCTGTACAGTGCAATTTTTTATAAATTAAAAAGTACAGTGGACCCCCGCATACCGTTGGCATCACATAACGTTAAATCCGCATACCGATATATTTTATCGCTAAGATTTTGCATCGCATACCGCTAAAACACCCGCGCAACGCTATTCGTCCGAGACGCGTCAAATGTGCGGCCTGAGCCAGCCTCACATGTTCTGCTGGTGGCATTGTTTACCAGCCAGCCTCCGCGGTAACATCCAAGCATACACTCAGAACATTTCATATTATACAGTGTTTTTGGTGATTTTATCTGCAAAATAAGTAAACCAGGGGCCCCAAGAAAGCTTTTAGTGCCAACCCTACAGGAATAAGGGTGAGAATTACTAAGAGAGATGAAAAAGAGATCATTTCTAAGTATGAAAGTGGAGTGCGCGTGTCCCCGAGCGGGCCAGGTTGTATAGTAAACCCCAATCAACCATAGCTACTATTGTGTCCAAGAAAACGGCAATCAAGGAAGCTGTTCTTGCCAAAGTTCAACTGTTTTTTTCGAAACAGAGATCGCAAGTGATAGAAGATGTTGAGAGACTCTTATTGGTGTGGATAAATGAAAAACATAGCAGGAATAGCATCTCCAAGTGATCATAAGTAAAAAAGGCAGGAAGTTGCATGAGGATTTAATTAAAAAAATGCCTGCAACTAGTGATGATGTGATGAATTTAAGGCCAGAAAAGGGTTGGGTTTTGAGATATTTAAGAACGTATGGCATACATAGTGTGATTAGGCATGGTGAGGTTTGCCAGTTCGGACCACAAAGCAGCTGAAAAAAAAGTGCAGGAATTCAAGGATTACATACAGTGAAGGACTGGAACCTGAAGAAGTGTTTAATTGCAATGAAACAGGGCCCGTTTTGGGAAAAAAATGCCAAGCAGGACCTACATTACTCAGTAGGAAAAGGCACTCCCAGGAAAATAAGCCTATGAAAAGACAAGACTTACTCCTCTCATGTTTTTCCAATGCTAGTGGTGATTGCAAAGTGAAGCCTTTATTAGTGTATCACTCAAACTCCCAGAGAAGTTCAGGCAAAAGAATATCCTCAAGGCTAATTTGTGTGCTGGGGCAACAGTAAGGCAATGGGTCACTAGTGACTTTTCTATACGTTCACCAGCCATTTGCCCCCAATTAAAATATTCCTAACTGAAAAATTGACCTAATCTCCTCGTTTAACACTCTGTCTTCTAAAATCTCAAGAGCACATGTCTCAGGGACAGAGCTTCATTAGTTCAAGTTATGCCTCCCAATTGTCTGCGTTCTTTATCTTACACTCACGCAACTTCAAAAAACTGCATAAGCTTGTTTACAAAGCCCTTTATAATTCTAAAAATCAGTTGACATCACACATCTTTGCTAGAGGCCTATTTACTGGAAAAATTTAAGCCCTGAGTTGCTAACAGACCTAACTGCTTGAAGAAACTCCACAACCTGTAAAAACTTAGCTTTTAACTTCCTACTAACCTATTACATTGAACCATTGCCATTGAATGTCCCGCTTCCACGTCATACGCCTTTTCCAAATCCATAAATGAGAGGCCAGAAAGACCTCTTTAGACCTATCTAAATACTGTTCAACTAATGTTTCAGAGTAACACCTGGTCCAACTTACCCCTAGCATTTCCTAAAGCCTCCTTGTTCATCTGCAACCTAATTCCCTCCGCTTAACTCTGTAATTCTTTCAATTATAACTCACCAACACTTTACCAGTCATAAACAAGAGCTTATCCCCCTTAATTTTTGCACTCTCTTTTATCCCTTTGCCTTTATACAAAGGAACTACATCTCCATCCAAGGACTTACCCTCCATACATTTATTAAGAATTCCATCCAACCACTCCAAAACTTATCCCCACCTCTTTAACATTTCTATCTTTAATCCCATCAATCCCGGCTCCTACCCCCTTTCATTTTACTACTACTCATAATTCCCCCACACTTCACTACGGCTCTTTCGGTCCTCAAGATATTATTCCTCCTTGCCCTATACACGAAATACACTTCCTATCTCATCAACGATTTAATTGCATCAAAATATTCTGCATCTTCCAATACCTAACTTATTTAATAACTCTGGCTCTCCTATTTTTAAACAAAATCCATTGGTCAAGGTTTCTTAATGTAATCTCATCAATATTTTTTATTTCAACAAAATTTGTTGATAAATCTCAACACTCAATTTGCTTTTTTAATTGCTTACCACTCTTAACTCTTCTTTGTCTCCTGTACTCTTCTCCTGTACTTCACTTGTAAAAACTTCCAATGTAACTTTTCTCCTTACATTCTTTACATCACATCCACCAAATCGCTCAATTCCCTCCTGCACCACTTTCCTGAATCCAAAACATGCTGGAATCACACTAAACACATTTTTAAACTACCCAATACCTTCACCCATTGCCTATGCTCTCATTAGCCCATCTATCCTCCAATAGCTGTTTATATCTTACCCTAACTGCCTCCTCTTTTAGTTTATAAACCTTCACCTCTCTCTTCCCTGATGCTCTATTCTCCTTGTATCCCATCTACCTTTTACTCTCAGTGTAGCTACAACTAAAAGTGATCTGATATATCTGTGGCCCCTCTATAAAACATGTACATCCTGAAGTCACTCAACAGTCTTTTATCTACCAATACATAATCCAACAAACTACTGTCATTTCGCCCTACATCATATCGTGTATACTTATTTATCCTCTTTTCTAAAATATGTATTACCTATAACTAAACCCCTTTCTATACAAAGTTCAATCAAAGGCTCCCATTATCATTTACCCCCTGGCACCCAAACTTACCTACCACACCCTCTCTAAAAGTTTCTCCTACTTTAGCATTCAAGTCCCCTACCACAATACTCTCTCACTTGGTTCAAAGGCTCCTATACATTCACTTAACATCTCCCAAAATCTCTCTCTCTCCTCTAAATTCCTCTCTTCTCCAGGTGCATACACGCTTATTATGACCCACTTCTCGCATCCAACCTTTACTTTAATCCACAAAAATTCTTGAATTTACACATTCATATTCTCTTTTCTCCTTCCATAACTGATCATTTAACATTACTGCTACCCCTTCCTTTGCTCTAACTCTCTCAGATACTCCAGATTTAATCCCATTTATTTCCCCCCACTGAAACTCTCCTACCCCCTTCAGCTTTGTTTCGCTTAGGGCCAGGACATCCAACTTCTTTTCATTCATAACATCAGCAATCATCTGTTTCTTGTCATCCGCACTACATCCACGCACATTTAAGCAACCCAGTTTTATAAAGTTTTTCTTCTTCTGCATTGAAGAAGTCTTAAAATATTGATTTTTTGTACATTTAGTCCTTATAAATCTCTGTACAGTGCAATTTTTTATAAATTAAAAAGTACAGTGGACCCCCGCATACCGTTGGCATCACATAACGTTAAATCCGCATACCGATACATTTTATCGCTAAGATTTTGCATCGCATACCG